CCAACTATCCAAGACATCTCGTCGCCAAGTCTGCTCGCAAGAGCGATATATCGACAACGGGAACTTGCCAGCAACGTCCAGAGAGATCACTGCTTCGGCAAATGCACGGTGTTCCGCCCGGACGTCTGTGGACAGACACTGTCATTCGAACGCCAATCCGTCGAAGTCGAGTCCGATTCAAAACCCTGGCTTCTGGATACCGCACGCTGGATAGTGGCTGCGCGTCGCAGCTCCTGTGCGTGATCCATGACGTGGCAGCCTCAGAGACGATTTGTTTGACCGGATTTGCGGTATGCGAACCTTTTCGTGACAACCAGCTGGTGGCCGGAATCAACGTCTTTGGCTCGGCAAAAAAGCAAGCACAGCGTCGCAAGACAATATCGAGATCCGAGTTTTGCCAACTCATATTTCAATTTCCACTTTCGATCATCATGGTCACTTTGCACAAGCGCTTCACCTATATGCTCCAGTACTGCAACAAGGTGACGACCAACCTCCGGACCATGTACTACTCGTCTCGGTCGTCGCGATATACGAGCTACAAGCCGACAACGCCGAGCATCGACGTGACTCAGGACATGATCGTACAGCGGGTGCTGAAAAGCCTGGCGCCGCTGTTGCACCAGCTGCCCACAGACCGTTTCGACGCCGACGGCCGCGCCAAGGTCGAGGCCATCGTGCGCCGCGCGATTGACGCCAAGCAGCCCGTCACGTTTGTGATCCCAGCCTTTCCCTTCAAGTCGCCCAACACGACCGAGAAGACGCTCGGCGTGCTGCCGGACCGCGGCGAAGAGCTCGCAATGCACCGCCTCGAAACGCTTTGCCAAAAGATCGAACGACTGTACCCGATCGGCGTCCAGATGGTCATCTTCAGCGACGGTCGCATCTTCAACGACATCATTGGCGTCTCGACGGACGCCATGGACGCGTACATGGCCGAGCTCGAGGCCATGGCGGTCGCGGCGCAGCATACGCACATCAAGTTTGACCGACTCGAGCACTACACCACCTCCGAAGACCCCAACCAGGAGCTTCTCGAGCGCTACAACTGCGACAAGATCGACATGAAGCAGCTTCTGAAAGATGACGCGGGCGTCCTCGCCACGTACCGCGGCTTCCGGCGCTTCCTCACCAAGGACCTCGCGCACAAGTGGGTCGGCATGTCCAACTCGGCCATCGACAAGGCTGCGGGGGTCGCCGCCAAGCTCATGATCCAGCGCAACATGGCCTTCTCGACGCTCGTCGACGACTGCTACCCGGACGCGATCCGCCTCTCGATCCACGCCTACGACAACGCGGGCCCCAAGTACGGTGTCGCGCTCATTCCGCAGCTTCAGAGCTCCAACGGGTCAATCCCGACCACGCCGTGGCACTGCGTCATGGTCACCGATGAAAATGGTCGCGAGTTCTCGGCCAAGCACGAAGATATTGACCTCGAGCGGTACGAGCTGCAGCACAAGTTTGGCCGAGCGTGGTGCTACACGGCCAAGGACACGGCCAAGGTCGAGCTGGCACCCGAGTGGGCGACCCTCAACATCTCGGTCGCGCCGTGGCGCCAAGGCGTGACGCTGACGAGCCAGAACAACGCCTTGTCGGTCATGGCCGTGCCGCGCCACCTCTTGCGCTCGCTCGCGACCAAGTACAGCGTCGTGCTCCTCCGCGGCTTCCGCAATGACGAGGACCTCGACGCGGTCGCGTCGCACATTGGCGAGATCCTCATGTGGCCCACGGGCAGCACGCTCGAGCTCAAGCAAGACGGCGCATCCGGCCTCGCATCGCGGTCGCACGAACCCATGGCGTTCCACTACGACGGCATGTTCAAGCGCATTCCCGACAGCGACATCCTCGGCGATGTGCCCTTGTACCAGTTCTTCCAGTGCTTGGCGCCGTACCCGGAGCGCGACTCGCCGTTCGGTCGCACCATGTTTGTCGACACGCGCCGGCTCCTCGCAGCCTTGCCATCGGAAGACGTCGCGCGTCTTCGGACGCTCCAGATGACGGCGACGACGGCGGCCAACGTCATGTACGGCTCGGCGACGCTGACGCACTTCATGGACCTCGTGTGCCAGCACCCGGTCAACGGCCAGGAGGTCCTCCGCTTCCACGAGCCGTGGGACGCCGACAAGACCAACCTCCAGCCGACGCAGATTACCATCCGCAGCAAGAACGAGGCGGCGACCGACGCCGAGCACGCGGCCGAGCAAGCGTGGGTCTTTGAGACGCTCGTGCCGCTGCTCTACAGCGACGACTTCAAGTACGCGCACGAGTGGCAAGCCGGCGACTTTGTGCTCTCGGACAACATTGCGCAGCTGCACAGCCGGACGCCCGTGCCGAAAGCAGGCCGGGAGATCCGCCGCATCCACCTCAACTAGAGTCGTGACGATAACTTATTTGTGTACACTAGTGGCATTTTTTGCCAAGACATTATTTTCTTGACAAATGCGATCGTTGCTGGCCAGGCAGATGCTATGGCGACCAGAGACACATGTTGTGTTCGCAACGCACCACGAGGACATACGAGTCAAGACACGTGCATGGTCATAGAAGCAATAGTGTAGTCGAGCTGCTTTATTCCTCACTCTCACTACCGATATCCGTGAGAAGAGGACGGTCCTCGCCGTAGCACAAGTCTTGGGCCATAAAAAGACAGTTGTCGAGGCGCATTTGTTTGCGCTGACGCTGAATTGCGAGCAGCTTCAGCGGTGCACCGACGGTAAAGGGTCCGTGGTCGTCGTCGCAATCGTCGTCGTCGTCGTCACTCGTGTCGTCGAGTACCGGCGCCGGACTCGCGGGACGAAGCGTCGAGCACAGATCGTCGTTGTAGGCAAGCCAGTCGGGTTTGACTAGCGCCGTCATACCGGTAGCCATTGAGTCTGTTACGGGCACCGCCGCATCGTCCTTCTTCTTCTCCATGTCCATGTCATCTGACGCGTCGTTGGACACGGCAGTCGACGCGACTTTGGCCATGCACGTCCGACACGCGCCGCGCTTCGTGTCGGGCGTGCCGTCGCACGCCTTGCAGATGTTTTCGAGGCAGAGACCGCACTTGCGGCGGTGGTCGACGGCGTTGAAGCAGAGCACTTCGGTGCAAAACTCAATGCCGTCGGACGGCACGACCGGCGTCGGCGCCACGTACAATGCAAAGCGCCAGTGGACGACGCTCTGCGTGAGCTTTTGCAAGAGCGTGCGTCCGAGCACCTCAAAGCGGGCAGCGTGCTTGGTCGGGAGCGCGCCGACGAGAAGGAGCCGCGTCGCGTTCGCTCGCAATGGCACGAGCGCGAGGCCAAAGACGGTCGGCGTCGTCTGGCGGGGCAACGCAAACACGGGCGTCTGCGCCTGCAAGAGCACCTGGATGTCGGACGCCAGCGTCGCACTCGTCACGTGCATGGCGCACTCGTCACCAGTCGCCTCGATCTGCGTCGTGTGCCGAAGAAAGAAGCTCGGCTCGCGCAGCCCGACGGCCGAGAGGAGGTCCCACTGCACCGACGTCGAATCGAGCTCGAACGCGTGCTGTCGCCCGAGAGTCCACGTCGTGTGCGTCACTGGGGCAGACACGCCGAGCAGCGTCTCGTCAAAGTGTACGGTGGCATGCATGAGCTCGGTCAGCGGACTCTCGACCGTGTGCTCGAGGAGCACGTGGCAGTGCTGGCCGGTTGCGATCGCGTGCTTGAAGCTGTAGATGCTCGTCGTCTCCTGCTGCCGCATCGGACTCTCGCGGGGCTTGCGCAAATGCGCTTGAGCCCAGGTGGCGACGCGCAACGTGGTCGAGAGACCAAACGGCACGAGCGCGGTCGTGAGCGCATCGGACGCGGCGTTGGTCTGGAGGTGCTTGTTGAGGTTCATACTGGGCAGTGGTGCCGTAAGACGCAAAGATGATTGTGGATTTTCCCAGGACGTTCAAGCTTTTGGGAAAGGCGAAAGGAAGGAAAAGGGAGGCATCAGCCTTTGCGAGGAGATGGTGTGAGGAGACAGTGTGAGAGACGCCAACAAGACGCAGAGCGGAGAGGAGTCGAGGCCAAATGCAAGACTACCGCGCTCACTCTATGTTTCCGTCGATAGCAGAACATTGCACGCATATAGGCCACGCGATGGTGTCTTATTGCCTGCGCAATGGGGAAAACGAAGCAATATGACACTATTGGACTTGTACCTGAGGCGAAGCGCTACCAGAACTGGTTTCTTGTTGTCAGAATGGAGGATATACCTGGCACCAGCCAATGGTAGAGATTGAGTGTTAGTAGAATAAGCAAGCGACGGGATCGACCACCGAATGTGATCCCGTTGGAAGTACATACTAACTACTGACACCGTAGTCGAAGGCGATGATGGAGCAAGACTTGGCGGTCTTGCCGAAGATTGCAAACCAGTCTTCTGTGATTGGCCCATTGTGTCTCAACCGATGATCATAATATAGTGCAAGTATACATTGCTGGTCTACACCGTTCCAAACGTTGTGGCTGCAGCGAAATGTAGGCAGTTAACGTCCACCAGGATCGCGTCGGCCGCGTGGGTAGCTATCGAGGACCTCGACGACGTTGGCAAAACCATTCGCAAGTGCAATCATGCGGGCCGTCCGGTGGTGCTGTGGGATGTCTCGGTGAGATATTGTGCACGCACTATATGGAGGAGGGACGTACGTGGTCCATTCGGTCCTTGTCGGCGTTGAACTGCAGGAGCAGCTCGGTCACGCGCGGGCGGTCGTGGTGAGCCGCACGGTGCAAGGCGGTGCACCCACCCTAGCATTTTTGCGATGAGACGTCATGGTTTTTCTTCGAGTGAGGTACGTCGCCAGGGTGGTTGATGTTGGCGTAGGCATCGACAAGGAGCTGCACGGCACGATCTTGGCCGCCCCACGACGCCCACTGCAGCGGTGTGTTGCCATACTGCACCGAATATCAAGTTGATATTTCGTTTCCAAAAACGCGTACCCGGTTTTCGCTGTCGACGGTCGCGCCATGCTCGAGAAGAAGTCGCACAACGGCTTCGTGGCCTTCCCAAGCGGCCCAGTGCAGTGGCGTGTTGTTGTCCTATCGTCGCTTTGGCTGTCGAATCCGAATACTGAATACCACGTACCTCCATGCGCACGTCTGGGTGCACGCCGCTGCCGAGCAGCGCGCCGACGCGGTCCGTCTGGCCCTTCTTGGCCGCGTCGTAGAGCGCGCAGGGGTCCTGCTTGCACATAGGCACGAGGTCGCCAAGAGTGCGTATGTAGTACCCCGGGGTGCTGGTCGAGGAGGCGAAGGATACTGGCGTGTCCTCTCTCGAATGCCAGAGCGTACGCCGCGTGCCCCGCCTAAGGTACGCTGTCAGAGCCTGATACACACATGCAGAAGCGTGCGTGGTTGCGCAGGTTCACATCGGCCTCGCGATTCAGGAGAAGGCGCACTACTGCGGCTCGGTCTTCCCGCGCTGCAAAGTGCAGTGGCGTGTCGCCGTCCTACACGATTGTAGCAACAAGGAAGAGAATTGCGATACGGTCTTCGTACGTTGTTTTGCCGGCCAATGTTGGCGCCTGTGTCCAGCAACAAGATCGCTGCTTGGACGCGGCCACCCCACGCCGCCCAATGCAGCGGTGTGTTGCCAAACTACAGCGATCAGTCCAGAGGGGCAACGAACTTTGGTCGTCGTACGTCGTTCGTGATGTCGACGCGGGCGCCACGGCGGAGGAGGAGATCGATGACCCTGTCGTGGCCCTCGTATGCTGCCCAGTGCAGCGCCGTGTAGCCGTCCTACTGCACGATGAGCCATGGCCAACACAAGTCGACGACGTTGAAGCGGCGGTTCGGGTCGACGCCTTCAGCCAGAAGCGCGCGCACGCCCTCAAGGTCGCCGCGCTTGGCAGCGTCGTAGAGCTACGTGGGAGCGCATGAGCCCAAGGCGCTGTACGGCCAATGTACATCGCTCATCTGCAGGCTTGCTGGGTTGTGTTGGCACGTCGATGCACCTATTCCAAACACTATTCATGACTTCTAGAATAGTGTATGGTGCGTTTTTGCCAGAAAGAACCAGTAGCCGCGAAAGAACCTATAGCCACGTTGGCTTTGGCCGCTGCCCGTAGTACGCAGCCACGCTTACCCAAATGAGACGTAGCAACCGCGTCTAGCTGCTCGGAGTGGCGTCAAGCACTCAGCTCGATCAGTCACACTATATTATGATCATCGGTTGAGACACAATGGGCCAATCACAGAAGACTGGTTTGCAATCTTCGGCAAGACCGCCAAGTCTTGCTCCATCATCGCCTTCGACTACGGTGTCAGTAGTTAGTATGTACTTCCAACGGGATCACATTCGGTGGTCGATCCCGTCGCTTGCTTATTCTACTAACACTCAATCTCTACCATTGGCTGGTGCCAGGTATATCCTCCATTCTGACAACAAGAAACCAGTTCTGGTAGCGCTTCGCCTCAGGTACAAGTCCAATAGTGTCATATTGCTTCGTTTTCCCCATTGCGCAGGCAATAAGACACCATCGCGTGGCCTATATGCGTGCAATGTTCTGCTATCGACGGAAACATAGAGTGAGCGCGGTAGTCTTGCATTTGGCCTCGACTCCTCTCCGCTCTGCGTCTTGTTGGCGTCTCTCACACTGTCTCCTCACACCATCTCCTCGCAAAGGCTGATGCCTCCCTTTTCCTTCCTTTCGCCTTTCCCAAAAGCTTGAACGTCCTGGGAAAATCCACAATCATCTTTGCGTCTAACGGCACCACTGCCCAGTATGAACCTCAACAAGCACCTCCAGACCAACGCCGCGTCCGATGCGCTCACGACCGCGCTCGTGCCGTTTGGTCTCTCGACCACGTTGCGCGTCGCCA